ACCGTAGGTGGAATGGGCCAGACAGGTCTGACAGCTCTTGGCAGACTCCACTTGCTAACTTATCAGTTTGTAACATTAGGATATACAGGATTAAGGTGTGTGGGATTCAGAGTTTCCTGTCCAGATAAGATAACTTATTTTCTGAAAGCAATACAGTAAGTCAGATATGAGAGACTCCCTGTGCTTAGGATCATTAACAAAATAGTTTATACTTGTATTAAATTTCAGACTTCATGCCACACATATTCACAACTTAATACCACATTATTGACCAACTGTACCACAGGGAACATTACTAGCCAATTTTTACCTCAGCCATCCTAATCTTGTGCCTTTAGATCTTCCTAATCTGAGCTTCACATGACTTGCATGTTGACACAATGTACCAACTCACGTTTCTGATACACAGCCAAAAAGATTCCTTATATTGCTTTATTTCATGGGGTTTTATTGCTGACAGTCTGATCAGCCTGTGCATCAACGAGCCTTTTGGAAACAGCTTCTGTAGGAGAGGAGGAGACACAAAAGTAAGCAGGAGATGATCACAAGAAAACATCAGGTGTAGAAAACATCAGGTGATTTGTACTTGGAAAAGAAGCATTTGCAGCTTCTTCACTAAACAATGGGTTTAGGGCAATGGTGAACAGCAGGAGTCAGAAAGCCTTGTGTGATTATATGGTGAGAGCCCTCTGGAACACTACAGCACTTCTCTGAATATCCCTGTCAGTGTCATCTCAGACTGTAAGGGTTTGTTCTTTACAGGACAACAAAAGAAAAAAAACCAAAACTATAACAAAACCTCTGAATCTGTTGAAGATATGTTTCCACATGTCCAGGATTCTTGGATTTCACAAGCAACTGTCTTTTTCAAAGTATCAACTCAGTTTAGAAAGGAAATGGACTAGGACAGAAAGAACCATAGGAATCAAGTTCTTTCTTGAAGGATGGTTTCTTCCCTCTGTGCTCTTGGCCTTGTGGCATTGGGTAAAGAGATCTGTTGTTTCTACAGTATTCTCATTATATTTTCTTCTTTAGTACAGAGTGATTAAATGTCAAGCTGCAAGAGTTTAGAGTTGTAGGCTTATTAGAAAATCAAGGATTATTGTAATTTATTTTAGAAGTACACTTTATGAGTATGGTTTCTAAATTAATCTCTCCTGTTATGTTATTTTAAAAATACGCACAGCATCCAAGTATACCTAGTGGAAGGCAATTTGGCACACAGTGCAACATTGTTTCATAAGATATTTTAAAAGTAGTGTGGTCACAAGTACCATTGTCAGAAGTACCCATTGATACTTGAAGTTTGTCTAAAGTTGGAGTTAAATGTCCATGTATGTCAGTGGGATGTGCACATGCTTGGTACCAGGAAAAATTGAGTTCTTCGTCTAGGGAATGAAATATTTAGATTGTCACATTTGACTGCAAAAATGTGTAATTTTGCATATCATCTGTAATTGTGTAGTATTAAAATAGTGGACTTCACATGGCACTGTGCAGAAAGGAGTGGTAGGAAAATAGACTGGGGAGACTTCTAACTATTGCAGGTTCTGATGTGGAATGGAGTGAAAGAAACAACAAGTATTTTATATAAAGCACTCATCTCTGCACAGAAAAATGAAATAAGTGGGATCTTGTGATTTATTGAAGTAGAGCAAGCAAAGTAGAACAGGCTGTAAGAGAGAAAGAAAATCTGGGTGTGCTCTCTGACAATAGGCTGCAAAATCTGATGTGACAGTGAATTTCTTATCTTTGAATTTTCTTCTTCCCCAGATTATAGGAACCCTTGCTTTTCATATATATGGTAGATTGAGTCTTCTTATTGTAAATGTTGCTATTGCTTCAAAGTTAAGTGTGTGAATATACAAGGAGATGAGATGCCTGTAAGGAAGGAAGAGAATTAGTGCTATGTTAGCAGAAAACTGAAGAGAAGAATGTGAGAAGGAGGCAGGTGAAGAAGGTGTGAGAGGAGGTGGAGTGCACAATGTAAAATTGTAGTACTGGGGCTGGTCATTGACAAGTTGTGTCTTTTGACAAGTTCTAGTGATACATTCTGAGTAATGTATTTAAGTAATGAGACTTTGCAGTGCATGTTCAACTTTACTGTTGGCTGAAGGTGATTCAAGAAAAGTGCTGTGGTAAGCCTGCTAGAGAGTAATGTGAGTATGAGGGGAAATCAAATTTAGGGTTTTTTCCCAGCTAACTTGTTCCAGAAAGTGGCAGTTCAGTGTAGTGAGGAGGTGGTAGGGAGGAAGGTTTTTTAAATCTGGAGGAGCCACAACCAAGTGTGGTTGCATTGAGTACTGACACTCCTGGCTGTAGTGTTGCTAAGAAGATGTTTATTACTGAATAGACAAAATAACTGCCTGATCATAGAAACATATAAGCAATTTCAATATAAATATTGAGCACTTTAGAAATTAAGTATCTCACCTTTTTCTGTATGAACTGTAATGAACTACAAAAGCATATACTAATAAAAATTGGAGGTGGAACAAAAGCCACAGCTTTGGCTGAGAAGCAAAGCAGCTAGAGGAGTGAGATTCCACCCTTTTCATGGGATGCCTGCTGTGTCTTCACTCTTTTCCTTTGCACCATCCCATACATAGGCAAGTGAAGAGGAGGGAGAGCACAGCAGGTGCCAGCTCACCTGTCAAGGAGGCTTCCTACGCTGGTGGGAAGCTCTAAGCAGCACTGGCAGCTAGTCAGGCTCAGAAGATACCAGTGATGCACTGAAAAGAAACTGCACCTATGGCTGTGTCGAGCTTGGGTCAAGGCTCTTGATCAGCCACTGGGAACAAGAGACAGTGAGACACTATTTAATATTATTTGTTTTGAGTAACACTTTCTGCTTGCTGTCAGAGTTGGCATGGAAACTGAATCAGCACTCCTTTTGAAAAGAATAGTCCATTCAGAGTGAGGTTAGTCATCAGTGGGCTTACCAGAGGCTCAGGCTGCAGCTGCAGCCTAAACCTTGCTCATGAAAGGATAGAATCCTCAAAATGGTAACAGTCATACTACCCCAACCATTATTGGGCAAATAGGTGTCTTTTGAGAATGATGTAATTTCATTTGCATTTCGGTGGTGGTGGGTTTTTTAAAGAGGGAAGAGTTAATTATCTGAAATCCACAAGAGAACTTTCATATTTCGAGAAGATACCATCTGTTTCTATGGATCAGTTGAATTTAAAGAGTTAACACAATTCCTATAAACTGATGCTTGTAACATTGTGGTGGAAAGTAGCATAATTCTTAAAAGGCTCTAAGCTTAGCACTAGGCATCTGTGAATAGTCAAGATGGAAGCCTACACAGCATGCAGAAATTGGCATTTTCAATTACTTTGCCTCTATTGATGATGAAGAAGATCAAGATATGCTTATTTCTATTCTATTTTATTCCCACATGCAAGGGGAGAAGCAAAGAAACAGCAGCTGGTTTTCTGAACCAGCGAGGCTGAGAAAACACTGAGAGATAAATTGCTGTTCAGTGGCATTTCATAAAGCCATTTCATCTGCTGTGACATCCTGTTCTCAGATGCAAAATGATAAATGTATATATAAATTTGAAAAGTTTCATTTCATCTATAACCTTTGCCTCCTGGCTTTTTGTATCCTCAGAATACAGACCATGCATGTCTTCTTCATTGATACAGGAACTGTTTACACTAACTATTTACATTCAAGACTATAGTGCTGTTACCAAACTGATGAGGACATTTATTTCTTTTTCCTTTGTGTTTCTCAAGCAGATAATTTAAGTGAAGCCCTGAAAAAGCTGAAGATAACATCCACTGACAGCACAGCAGATAGCTTGGAGGGATGCTTGGACTGTCTGCTTCAAGCTCTGGCACAAAACAGTAAGTTGTATGGACCTTTCACATTTTAAATCATATTAGATCCGTGAATTAAAATGTGGCAGAAAGAGTGACTCAAGCAGTAGGCTGCTAGATTGGCTCTATTGAGTTTTGGGGGTTTTTAACCCATATATCTGTAATATTCTGGTAGCAATGAAGACAGTGACAGGTAAATACCTGAATATTTGGAACAGCTGTAGTTCATTCCTTTCTCCACACTTTTTTAATTGATCATTCAAGAAAAAAATGAACAGAGATGGAGAAATAAGCCTCATAAGATGGGGAAAAGGATAAGGGAGCTGCTAGCTAATTCTGGTTGAAAGACCATAGTTTCCCATTTGTAATGTATTTCTCCTCACACTTCTGATCACAGATTTCCTAATTCCAGGAGTTTCAATTAGAACTAGGCTGGATATCCAAAGACAGTCCAAGTTTGATATGTAGTATGTAACAAAAATAACATCAGAATGGAACAAGATGTTATTTTCACCAAAAACTTTAGAATGCTTGTCCCCACTCCCAGTAGACAGAAAGGTAAGGTTAATGAAGATGACAATTTATAAGATTTTTCAGTATTTAACTTTGTTAGTGCTTCAGATTGTGGCAGAAGAAGAATTTCAGGTTGAAAAACTTCTCGGGATAGGTACAAGCCATGATTAAAACTTTTTTATTTTAAAAAGAGCCCTCTGGAAGTATCAGTACACTCAAAAGTACAAAGTATTAATAAGACTGATAGTATTGTACAAATCAAAGCCTTTTGGATTAGCTGGTGTAAAATACTTGATGAGGATTTTCACAACTGAATATAAGCACCATCCAGATCAAGTCAAAAATGGATTATAACAGTGTTTGCATTTACTAATTACTCTGTTTTTAATTATCACTATTTTAGAAGGAGATTATCAGCCAGAAAGTAATAAAATCTTTAAGGTTTAGATCAATCATTTTTTGAAGGTTCTGGATTTATTTACAAGGTATATCCAATACTTCAATCCAAACTCCAGTTGGATTTACTTCCACTATTTGAAGCCTAATACTTAAATAATAAGTTCTAAGAAGATCATATGAAAAGTGACAGCTTACTCATGTAAATAACAGAGTTTGCTATTTTGCCTATGAAGGTCACATAGCTGTGTCAGAGAACAAGTCTGGCAGATGCAAAGTAATTTTACTAATGTACAGCAAACTTACTGATGCTTCCTTGCAACCAGACTCTTCTGCCTCAGTCTAGGGCTTTGCTCTTCCTTCCAAAATCTGTTCTGTTCTAGATTTGTAGCTGCCAGATCAGATAAACAGATTATTAGGATTTTGACCTCTCTCTTTGGGGTAGTTCTAGAAAATATATTCTCTCCATAATTTCCCATGCTCTTGGTGTGCAAGGCAGTGCCATGGATATAGCCCTGCTGAGCTGCCCTATGGTACACATCTCCATATATTTGCATTTGCCCAAGATTGAGGGCAAGTGAAATAATGCACTGAAAATTAAATGGGTCAGATAAGACAGGTTTTTTAAACAGCTTGCTGGTAATTTATGAACCAGTATATCAATTCTGTTTCAAGGGAACTGGACATTTCCATACCTAAGTTTTGCTAAGTCTCTCTGGACAATGGACTTTAGTTATCAAGGTTGTCTGATAATTTGGGGAACAGACATGGCTTGAGATAATTATATGAGAACAGCAGTACATTCAAAAGACTTCAGAGATTGATTCAACAAATAGATACATAATCAGCTTTCTAAATGCTTTCTCACAGCTCTCATCCATCCAGTTAGCATCTTAACATGGATTTAGCTGATTGATTTTTAATGATAGTCTATATTATCATATATACAATACCTAGTTATGAGAGACACACTGTACCTTTGTCTGTGTACAAATTATTACACAATAATAATGAGAAATCAAATTGTTTATATAAAAGTACGTGTTAATTGTAATGCAGAAATCATTTAAATAATATTTTGCAAACAGTTATTCTGCTCTCTTTTAGTATATTTCCATGTGTATGATTAAATTAATGAAGTATACATTTATATTATAGTTCAGTAAATCATCATATTAATGTGAAAGAAACAAGCCATTCAAGGAAGAGTTCATTTTAAGATAATTTTATAGAACTGTGATTTTGTTGGGAGTTCATGGTAGTATTGGTAATCACAGAAGTTAAAGTTTTATTCACTGCTTTAAGACTTGGAGATAAAAATATTATTTTTTCTTATATAAAATTCAGTACATTACTAATATGCTAATGCAACCCACTCGCATCTACTGCCAGCCAAAATCAGTAGTTAAACCCAATGATGCTACAACAAATTGAGATTTTCAGTAAAGGACAACTTCAGTTTTGCATAGTGTATGTACACGTGCATGTTTTAGTGACCATTACACCACTATCCATTGGTATCTGCATGCAGCATAGGTTTGTGGCTGCTGCAGAATGCTATATTCCCTAGTCTCTAAGTGTACAGTGAAAATTATAGTTCCATTTATTTTGCATACAATCTTTATGTTTTCATTATGCTAAAACATTACTTTCTTCTCATTTTTTCTACTGTATAGAAAGACAAGAAAAAGTTATGATGACTATCATAACTTTTCATTTCATTCTATGTAATCTGCTGTGTTTTCTTTTGTTTTTCACTCTCTTTGTCAAAACTGATCTGTTGATAGTCCTAGACAGGTGTAATGCCCTGGAACATGATATCTCCTGCCTGACTTTAGGAGCTATTCTGCCATTTGTCACAGCAGTCAAATTAAGGTGCATGCACCCACACATATGCTATACTACAGAAGGGCGAGTCACATACTCAGCTGAATGTGATAACTGCTGGTAAATATTTGGCAAGCCAAATTCAAATTGTTTTAACTACAGTTTGTCTAGGAGAAACTTGCATAGCCCTTCACATCTGAGACCTGGGTCTGAAAATCCTGCACAGATGGTTTTCTTAGGAGACATTGTTTTGAAATACATATATTCCTCTTTATGCAGATATTTTAGTTCTTGTCTGTCACCAGCACTTCTGTCTGAGGCCATTCATATATGGTCTAGCTTGTAGCACTAGAGAAAACTGAGGGGTTTTTTTTTGAAGATGAAAGAGGTAACAATGACAGAAGAATGAGACATAAATATGCATTAGAATGCTTTAGAATAATGACATACCTCATTTTGTGTGGAGTTCCTTCAGCATTCCCAGTGAAGTTAACTAGCATTTGTGAAGACTTGGCAGCCATAAAGCTGCAGTAACATAACTCAGGATTCACAGGTAATGGAAGAGCTCCTTTCACCACCATGGATCTACCTCATTCACAGAAGCTGAGATTCTGTCCACCTTGCTTCTGAAAGAAAATCACAAATATTTGATCTCTATCCTCCTGCAAGCACTCACCATCTGCTAAACTTCTCATAATTCAGATTTTTAAGGAAAGGCTGAGGTACGTGATTCATAAACATTGTTAGCAGCAAAAAACCAGAGCCAGCCTTGCACTAAATGAATTTCTGGCTTATATTCAATCAAGAGGTGAAAGGTGTGTATTACATGTGTTTTCTTTTAACAATTATACATTAAAACAAGTTACTCCACTGTTTGCTCCATATAATCTGGATTAGTTCTATACAGGCATGAATTGGTGTGTTATTGTCAAAGAATTTTGGTGATCTAGAAGCAGACTGCTTACAGTGACATGGAGTGTAGAATGATCATAACAATCAGAAAAGGCACAAACGTCCTCAAAAGTATGAGTAAGGGATGTACTGAAGAAAATTAACTTGAAAGATCATATGGTTACATTTCTGGAATGAAGTAAGTGAAGTATAATTCTTTTATTCTGTATCTTGCACCCAAGGAAAATATTGGGTATGTACTACTATTGGATATTGGGAACAATTGGTTAATTTTCTTGTATAAGGAATTACAGGAGATAACAATACTGGCCATTCTATTCAGTCAGCATATACAAATTTATACTTGTTAAGAGCCATTTCATAAATACTATGCCTATCAAAAAAAGTGCATTTATCATAACATCTCTAAATAAATGTCCTTCCTGAGAGAAAGAAAGCAAAAATGAAATAGAGGTTTTCTTTTAAACAGCAGGCTCTCTGGGACATAGCTATTGCAGTAACAACAAAAAAAAGTTACTGCTAGTCCAGGCGTGCTGTGTTTCAGATACAAGAAGTTACAGCAGACATAAATAACCCAGTTTGGATAAATGAGAAATCTGAAAAATCTGCTGAGAATGTTATTTTTGGCTCTGCTGTACTCAGCATAAGAGGCTGAAAATGCCCACTAATCCCAGCTTTCAGCACCTGGCTCTGAAAATGTCTGACATGTAGCTGGAGTGGAAAGGCTGGCACATGCATTTGAAATATTTTTTTACATGCACTTTTTAGAAGATTAAGAATATGAGTTTACATGTGTGTGTGAAAAAATGGTTTTGCAAAATCACAACAATAAAGATAAGTTTATGTGAGAGGTCTAGGCCCCAGTTTTGAAAAGGATTTTGAAACATTGGAAATATTTGAAATAATGCACTTTACCTTAAAGATGTGGCTGACTAAGGTGCCTTATTTTCTACTTGTTGAGCTTTGCTAATACCTGGTAACTCGAGGAACCATCACATGGCACATGAAAATTTTTAATTTGCTTGAAACTGGAAATCTCAGCATTATTCAAAGGCTACTTTTGAGTGCCATTTTTCTTCCCATAATGCACACCATTTCATAATAGTATTTTGCTTTGTCCCATATGCTGGAGCCATGCTTTGTGTAGAATATACTGGCTGTGTTGTATCAGGGAAAATAACATTGTTACAAATTTCTAGTAAGCTTTTGCCATCACTTCCTGCTGCTCCAGCATTTAGGGATCATGCCATCCCTTCTACCTAAAGCTCCTTGTTCAGGTTTTCTCTTGGGAGTCACCAGTGAGTTTTCTGAAACGAGTATATTCCTATTTGATGGCATCCCAGAGGAGGATCTGGAGTGCTTAAGAAAATCTTGGATATCTGGAGATACAGCAGATTTCTCACATTCCTTTGTCAGCGGTGAAACTTCTCACTGAATGCCCTAAATTAACTTTGGTAGGCACCTGCTCTAACAGACATCTAGTTTTCTCTCTTTAATTATTTTGGTGGATTTCCAGTTCTCACAACCATATGTTTACACAGAGGTTATATTTCAGTTGGAAATTCATTTTATTCTGTTCTTCATAGCCATGGCTTCCGTATGTTGTTGAATTTAGTTAGTGCTTGATGTTTGTTTTTCTGATCTTCAGTGGCCAGAGAAAATTGAACAATTCCTCTACTGGAACAGAAAAATCATGAAGAATTGAGAATTTTATAATTCTATAATTAAGGGCTCAACTAAAAAAACCCTGAAATTTTAAAATGCATGATTTTTGCTATTAATACCTTTGATTTGTAAAAGAAAAAAGCAAGATGTACCTATTTTTATCTATTTATCTTTTTTTGGACATTCTTGATAGTTCTGTGTACACACTCTTATTTATTCATTGCAGAGTCAGGTAGGCAGCTGTCTGCTTAACTTGTAACACTAAGTGCCATCTGATTTCAGTGAAGCCTTTTACCTCTTTAGTACACAGAGGATTAAGAAGCAGTCATTTCATCTTTTGTTTCCACAGTCCTCTCACATTAGCATGAAAATATCTATCCTCCTGCCCCACACATAGAAAAAATTAAGTTGTAGAACATTTTGTCATAGCAGAGTTATTCTAAGGCACAAACAACTAAAATCACTTTCATTTTTTGCTATTGGCTAAACATTTTAAGCTTTCTCCATTCCCTTTTGTGAAACGGAGCATGGAGAAAAAGCTCCACATTTCAGAGCATGCTCAAACAAACATATTCTTAAACATCAGCACATTAATCTTTCTCTGTTTTGAAGAAATTGTATGAACAGAATAAGGGTAAAACGATGCAACTGTTGTTTCATGCAAATTGTGGCCAACAAACAATGCTTTCCTGATTGTGAATGCTTGCACAGTATTAAAGCGTAAAACAATAACTGTCTATAGGCCCTATTCTGACCACAGTTTTGTATAAATAAAAAAAGAGCTTTCAGCATCCCTGCAGATTTAGCAAACTTTACATGTAAGCTGTGACAAGGCAGCGCATAAGCACATCAAGAGAGCTTAGCACAACCAAGGGGGTAGGCAGTGGTACTAATTAGATTAGTGGCCTTAAAACAACTGATAACTGGTAGAATTAAGTTCACTGACAAATAGCATTTCCCTGCTTTCTTATTCCTTTTTGATCTTTAGCATATCTCTTCTGAGTAGCAGTCTCCCTTCCAGGAGGATTTTTGATCCTCCTCGGTTGTGCCCTGCAGTGATCCCTGGTATGTCTCCCAGCTGTGGTGTTGGAAGGAGAAGGAGGCCATCTGGTGCCTTAAGTTTTAGCTTCCATATTTTTCAGATTCTCTGCTGCCTTGGGTGTAGTACAGTAACTCTGAACTTCATGTTAAGTGTTGGTAAGTTGTCTTCACAGGGTAGGTAGACAAAACAATCATTTTCCAGCCTGAGAGCCAAGGACAACTGTTGCAAGCCTCAAGCCCAAAAAGCATAAACAACAATTAATTGAAGAGAGCGCAGGGAGGATGGGACTTCATGACCTGAAGCTATAATTGGACAATTAACCCAAATATATAAATGGACCAAAACTTACAGAAGTGTGGGATTTCGTGATCAGTCGTCCATTTTGTGACCATTTTGGGTCCATCTTGGGTGTAGCCCTGGCCAGGCTCTTGTGCTGCCCAAGGTGTATCCTTTAAGGTCTTTTAATAAACACCTGCTTTGTTCTTTAACTCTGTCCAACCTCTGTTCTGTGTCAGCCTCTCTAGGCATAACACCCATGGATGTACACTCAGACCCAGCAGGCATGGACCTGCATGTTAGTCCTGACATGTAAATGTCTCCTCTTGAACATTCAGACAAGCAACAAGCATTTATGGTGTTATCCATGAAGAGGAAATACTCAGATCAAAGCTACAACGTCCTCCTCCAATAAGATAAAAACTAAACTGTATCATTGCTAACTGTCTTCTGAAATGTATAGTTCTCTGCTGAGATTAAAGTATTCTTTAGGTAGACGGTATCCTTAGCATATGACAAAGATTTTAGGACTTTATCATTATTCCTGGTGTGTCTTGGAAACTGCAAAAATATTAAGAGTAGCACTAAGGCATCATTGTACCTGTAGGACTTGTTTTCTTTGCGTATTGAAGACATGAACTTATGTCTGTTTAGCTACTACTAAACCTTGATTCAGCATCTTTGGAATTCAGTGGAGTGGGCATAATGCATTTAACATCTATTCAAGCCAAGGGAGGGAGAGGGAGTAGAAATGAAAAGGGAAAAAATGAAACTAAATGGATGAGTAACAAGGAATACAGTGGAACATAAGATTTTCATTTTAGAGGAAGAAGAGAAATGGCAGAAGGGGGAAACAGATACAAAGATAACATTTTTGAAGGAAAAAAACCCCAAAAAAACAAGCTAAATGCATGTACCTCAGTGGCTGGTAGGAAGCAGTCAAACCAGAACTCCACATCTCAGACCAGCAAGAATTTCTAGTCTGCTTCTGACACAGATAATCTCTTTTAACAGAGGCAGGGGTTCAAATTTAATTGGGCCAGCTCAGCCAATCAAGCCATTAATATTACCTGCAAAGATTTCTAGTCAAATGCCCTGCTAAAATTTGGGAATCCTGATGAATATTTTTTAATAGGGAGTTCTGGCTCAAATACTGTGTTATAAAGTGTTCCTTCTTTTTGCAGAAGAAGGATGTTTGTTGCATTTTAGCTCATGGACTGTTGCCTTGTCATGGTATTGTACATGCATAATCCAGAAATGTTTCCTCATTAAGAGCTGTATATAATATATTTTTACAGTATAACTATACTAAATCAAGGTGGCTGCTTTTTATTGGACTGTCTCCCAGTAAACTGGCTTACCCTAATGATACTGAATGGTAATCACTGCTGCTTAGTGGGATTATATTTTACATAAATTCCCCTTAATAGTGATGTATTTAGTTAGTGCCAGATAGTTAAATGTTTATCCAAGTGTTAAATTCCAAGTGCTATTCATTGAATACACAATGTGCCAAATAAAGATTAACTATTATATTTTTTTTCTTTGCAGAAGGCATCAGTGAATAGCAGTTCCAGATAATAGAATTGACACATCTTTTTTTTAGATTGCCTCTGTGTTGCATTTTCAATGAAAGAAAATGAAGAAAAGGCAGGCCTTTTCTTTTGCTTCTATATTGCATTTCAAAAATGCAAAGGAAAACGCCTACCTTTTACAAAAGATTATATTTAGAGATCATGTAATTCACAATTTAAGGTCTGCAGTTTCATTCTTAGCTTTGCTCCAGTCCCTTATAACTTAAAAATGTGATCTTTTTAAGATTAGGTTTTCCTTAAGCTACTCTGATTGCACAGCTCACTAAAAACACCAGCAGATTAAAAAAATCCTGTATGTAGATGTACCCTTTCAATATGCAAAGGGTGGAATTTCACAGCAGGCATTTCAGCTCACTTAAGAGCACTCTTAAGAGATTGCTTTAAAGGAACATGAAACATTTCCTGCATATAAAATGATCAGCTTTCAAATTTGATTTGATGTTAATCAACTAAATCAAATTTGGAGAAAGGATTTTACTCCATAGGACTCTGGTCCTTGGAGTATTTGTTATACATTTTGAAGAACTAAAGCATGAGAATACCCTTTACCCTGGGACCTGAACTGGGTTCAGTCAATACAAGTAAGAGAGGAGGCAGGGGAAAATGTCCACGGAAGCCTAATACAAAACATGAACATGTGAGTGTATGACATTTGTACTAAGATGCCAGACAACAAACTTGGCAGCTGAGGCACTGACATCAAACTCTTTCAGCAACCTTGCTACTGAAGTGGTTACATCCTGGAGAGGGTGAGTCAGAAAGGGGGAACAGCTCAGATAAATCTACCAGCTACATGCCAGGGCTCGATACTGGATGCAGTTCAGGAGCTCAGGGGTGCCAAGCTGCCTAACTTTAATATTCTGCCTTGTGCTGTGACCTATTCATGGAAGTATATGTGCATTTCTTTTCATTGAAGGCAAAGAAGTCACATATTTTTTACTTCATTGGTGCTTGCAACAGGCTATTCAATGGGTAGAATCTCATCCTGAAATTCACTTTTATCCTTTGGATGTAGCTTTTGGAGAATTTAATCATCGGGACTCATGCAGCTAGTTGATTGATAAATCTGTCTCTCCATCTGTCCTTCCTTCCTTGTTAGAGCTGAGATTTTAATTACAAACATCTGTGTACTGTCTCTTTCTTCGTTAAAAATAGGAAGTGAAGTTGCCCTGTAGCTGCTGACAGAGACAAAACAGAGCAAACACCATGATGGAAACATTTGTACAGCTAAGGGAGAATCCTCCCTCCTTGCCTAATAGGTGTCTAATTTCAAGGATAAGTGAACAGGCAGATTTTGGGAATTTCCGCATGTGAGGAAGAGCATGCCAAAAAGAAATCAAATGTCTACAGTTATTTTTATACATAAATTATTAGTAGTAAAGGACTTTTTTCCCCTCATTTAAGTAACTCTTGATAATTGGAAACGACTCTTTGGTTTAGGTTTGTTAAGCAAAACCACCTTATCAGTGGTACATTCTTTGTTTCATGAGATCCTACAATTTGTTTTTCTGAGCTTCTTAACAACTCACTTTTTGTGCTTTTTTAGCCAGACTAAAATCTTCATTTAGTGGTTTGAAAAATACAGTGGGAGGCTGAGGAGAGAGGGACTTGACTCAGGCTGTATATGGAGAGAGCATCAGTGCTTGTGCTTGGTCACATGAACCTTCTTACTGTGGTGGTTAGGAGCATGTGCCCTTGTTCCCTTCATTCTCTTCCCTTCTGCCTTCTGACAGAGCAGATGGAAGGTTCCTTTCATGATATATGTGGTTCATCATTATTTATTCATGTGTTCATCTTTCTGATGAGAGTACATGTAGGAGGAACATTGTCAAGCCAAGGTAAATTCCTACAGTAGTTCCAGTAGGTTTATAAAACATCTTTGCAGTTAGAAAGACATGCATTTTTCGAAAGGCTGCATGGCAAACACAGTTTGCTTAATACAGAGGATGCTCAAGAGGTGTGAAGCTCCACAACATGGGAATTATTGCAGCACAACTGTAGGGTTACTAATAATAGTATAACTTAGACTCATTGTTCATATGGGATAATGGTGAGTCTCCAGCTTTCTTCTGCTAGCAAGGCATTGTTGAGAGATATGCCTTGCCTTTCCCTTCCTCCTTTCTGCCTTTGATTTCACTTGAAGGTGTACAAAATAATACACCTTCTCTCCAAGAGAAGAGTGAATAGAGGGAAGTAAAATTTCAGAGGAAAGAGATCTGAGAGGGAAGAGAGTGTAGAATTTTAATTTGAAACACATTATATTTTTTCCTATCATTTCTGCTACTTAATTAACCAGTCGGATAGCCACCGTCCTCATCTCTCCAGCTCTGATCTGTGGCATTAAAGATTTTCCTGCCCGCACCCTTAACTACTCTGACTTTAGTCACTGCAAAAACCACAAAAAGCAAGCATATTGACATTTTAATCACTCAGCTGTGACATCAATAAGATTTTGACACTACGTGATGTAACAGACCCTTTGTCTTGATATGGGGTGATAAAAGGAGGCATCTAAAGCAGCAGGCTTAACCTTAGGGGGTTTTCCCCTCCAATTATGCTGTGTTAGACTGTGTGCAAAAGGGCTGCTTTTAATGCAGCATTATTACAGTCCTACAGTTTCTTTACTTTAAGATGGGACAGCTCTAGGTGTGGGCTGGTGTAAGCAGATTGAAAATCAGCCTTTAAAAAAAGCATTTGAAATCACAGATACATCACAGATAGCAAAAGGATTATGAGGTGTGGCACCCTAATGTCAGGCTATCTACATTGCTAGGTTTCTTTCAGACACAAATATAATGGATTTTAAAGGGGTTGCAGTTCTACTAAAGGATTGTTGGCTGTGATTTCCTTTTTGGCCAGTATAGAAACACAGGAGGAGAATAAGTAGTAGAGATTTGCCTAAGTCTTTCTTGCTCCTGGAGAATTTTTTTCGGTTTACATGCTCCAACTACAATTGAAATAGCAATTTAAAAGATGACAGCTGAAATAAGTTTTCAAAATAGTTTACCCTCTAATAATTTACTAGGAAGCCCAGAATGAAACTAGCACACAGAAGATTGATATCCTTAATAAATACTACCTCTTCAGTGCATACACACAGAGAGACAGAAAGCCAGGCAGGCTTTCTCCAGCCTCTGAAGAGAACAAATAAAGGCAAGAGTTGAGGGTTGCCTATGCTAAAGCCACTAGCAGTTTCTAATTCTCAGTAAAGCCTACCTTATTTCTCCTAGAATCAGGCAGTGGTAGGGGTACCAACCCTGCGGCAGCATTGATGTGTGGTCTCCCAGTCTCAGGTTCTGCAGAATCAAAAACAACTGATAGTTTTTACCATCATAGTGAAAATACTGCTGCATAAACATGACAATCTACTGTCCACTCCAAAGAATAACACCACACACACTTCCCATCATTTTTCCCTATGTCCCTGTATGTTTTATGTATTTATATAGGACAGGTGTTATGTGAAGTTGAGCTCAAAGGAGAGTCGCACACAGGACTGTTTGCTCATGTTTTGTAACTGAAGCAATTGTCCCATTTGGGCACTATAAGAAATGCTTATGTACCTACAGCTGTGCTGAAATCATCTTCAAGGCCTCCAGCTTGGTATTCTCTTCTGCAGACATGCATTTTAACACTTAGTACCTGAACTGAGTGTACAATTGACTCTGCAGACAAGCAAAGGGTGGTTGAAGATCTTAGTTTAGACTTCACAGGGCAGCCCTGTGAATTAGTTTCCTGTTAAGTCTTCCTTCTTTAAAAGAATATAAAAAATACTGAACAAAAATGCTATATTTAACAAGGCAATTGTAGGTTTATAAATAAGACATCTTGTTCCAATTAAAATACCCTTCCTTGTTTAAGCATTTCAAAACTCCAGAAAGATTGGTTTCCTGTAACAAAAGTATCTGCTAATAACATGTGACTTGCAAAATTAATTTGTATATTACAGCACATTCTTTTTCCCAACTTCTTTATTAGAAATTCAATATGATGAACACAGAATCCCTGGAAAAAAATGGATATTTTTTGCAGATACTAAACAGAGTAATGTAGATGAGGATGGAAGAGTAATTTTCCTGGCACATTCTCTTAAGATGCCTTATATGGAGGGTCTACTATAAACTAGTTGCAAAGATTTAGTGTCATACTGTCATCTCTCTATTTTGAAACTGAATTAATTTGTATATTACACCAAGTGTAAGTTGTATGTGTTCTGCAGAGGAAGAGCAGTGCTTCCTTAGACTTGGAGTAGACAAGCTGAAGCACCCTGTGGCATTTTTTACACCTAAGGCATTTCCTGGCAAAAATGCCTCAGAGAGCACTGTGGGCTGATAGTAATTCTTCTGCTGGATGCCAGAGTAATGTGCTTTTCCTCAAAATAATGATGCTTGAGCACTCACCCAGGGTAGAGTAGAGGTGGGGTGTTCTGCACTCACTGCTGGTCTCATTAATCCATCTTCCCTCTTTTATGACTAGCAAAAGTTTGACATCGATACCCAACTGACTAACAAGAAACATTAGGATTTTGGTTTGAAGGGATGAGTGAGGTATGGCATATGCAGGTGAAGAGATATGTGAGGTGAAGGGATATGCAGGTGTGCCTCCTCTACTTCTTCAGAGAAGGAATAAGACACTGGTCAGTTTTCATCTATGTGATCCCAGGTAACTTATTTCCCAGTTTCTGAGAGGTCTGTTAGGGCTGTGCTTTTATGGTGCTCACTTTTCTTAATAAAATAAATCAGGGTGTATCTGCTGCACACAACTTGCCTGGAGAAGCACTTAATTTTATTTTCCCACTTCTTGCAGGATATATTTAGTTCTACTTACGTAATTTATGCTTTGCACAGTAATGAGTCCATCAAACTACAGACCAAAAAAATAGGACTGGATACTGTATATCACAGCAGCGTGACAGGAGAAAATGTATTAATGTCTCCTGCCTACTAATACATGTTCACACATATCCATATTTTGCATTTTGAATTCTGTGCTTCGAGTTTTGAACTTAAGGGAGAGAGAACCTCTTCCTTAATAGACATCTAAGATGTCTGGACTAGTCTTTAGTCCTGATATGATTTTCTCTAAATCAGACTTTCATTTTGTGTGCCTATACCCACTGGAAAATATTGCTACTAAGTATGTGCAGAGTTTTTAAAAGCTTTCAAATAAGCCATAAGCTCCTTTACATTGTATCTTCCAAGAGGTTTTTTTTTCAGTGTATTTCAAAAATTGCAGTTAACTAGATTGCAAGCAGGTTAATAATAGTTAGCACTTATATTATGCATGAGATTCTGAGATTACTCTTTACTGATGCCTAATCTGTCTGTAATCAGATGTCATCATGGACATACTGTAGCTGAGTGGTCCTAGCCAAACACCAACATCCCAAATTGGAATTATATACAGAAATGGGAGGCACAACTGCAGTCCAGACTTGAAGTTCTCTGTTTTCAGTCTGTTTTCTGTCATGTAGACATAACCAGCTCTCAGACACTGAAGCATGTATATACTTTGTGTGAGCCACAAAACCCATGGGAGTCACCTCTGCCAGGCTCGTGCTGGCTTCTGTTCAGGGGCAGCTTGAGTGGATCCCTCCCATTCTCAGAGGCGGCAGAGTGTTGCTGGGGCTGCCACAAATCAAATTCACTTGCAGCCCTGAGAGTGGGGAAAGGAAGGAGGAAGAGAAGAGAGAGGGTGGTATGTTATTATCAATTTACAGGTGAAGCACAGCAAAAGAGTGGTTGCAAACTGCATTCAGATGGATTTGTTTTGCTTTGCAAAAGTCATCAATTGGAGCATCTCACAGTAAATTCTGAAGAATGCAAATAACTTCCCTTATAAATGGCTTAAGAAGTCATGCTGCTTTCTAAAATTATAGCTGCCATCTAGATGTACTGTGTGTCACACTAATATTCATCTCAAATAGGCCATTTTTAAAAGCATTAGCAAAATATGTCAAGCCATCTAGTAGCTTGTCTTTAACTGCAGTGGAATCAAAGTTGATTTTCAGTTTGTTACAGAGCATTGCTGTTGGCCAGCAATATTAGGTGGGGCCCTGTTAGGGAGCAGCTACACAATTTCTCTTACTACATACAGAAAGGGGAAAGCTTTTGTCACAATTCTTTGATATCTACTACAGGAAATCAGTGTTTTTCCCTTTCCCTTCTACTGAGTCTACTGCAGCCACTCAGTAACAGAGTAACATAGAAGATATTTTAGTGAGGGTAAGAGAGTCTACAACCAGGATCATCTTAGCTCTCCCTCTTCTCCAGTTTCTGATTCCTACACTGCATTAAGCTGCACCCTAATCTGTAAGAACTTTCCCCATCATTCCTTGAAGGTTTCCAATAATTCATCTCTTCAAAGTGTCATTCCTTGACTTTAACATAACACCTTTACCTGCTATGTATCACTTTATGACCTTTACCCTTACAGTCTCTCCAGTGTTTTTCCCATGTAAGCATGAGTATGTATCTGTATATACTTACATAGCAGTCACCTTATAAAGGTCAATTGATTAGAAATGGCAAAGTACTAAGTTCTTTGAGTACATCAGATAAAATAAGTATGGTTACTGAACTTACAGTTGGCTTCTTATATGGGAAATAATGACTTTTGAGAAGACTTCCCTTTTGCTTTTCTTTCTGTTCTTCCCCAAAGCAATTTGATGCATAAGTCATTTTTGTGTGATGTGTTTTTCAGATATGGAGACAAGTGAAAAAATCCAGAAAAGTGGAGTTCTTCAGGTGTTCGCGAGTCTGTTGACGCCACAATCTTCCTGCACAGCAAAAGTAGCTAACATCATAGCAGAAGTAGCCAGAAATGGTGAGGTTTTCTACAAGAACTTTTCTGCTGGAACATCTTCAGTTTTTCACCTCACTTGTCAGTATGTTTTACTTCATTTATGTTTTCATTTTATAGATTAGACACCTTTCATGTCCCTCCCTATCACTCTTTTTGTTTTGTCTAATTTTTTTTCTGTACTTTTTAATACAATCAGAAGAGCAGTTGGCTGCTGGAATTTCTCTTACTTTCATTCTGTTTAGTTTTTAAGATAGTAATGTAATTTATTGGGCAGAAATAGCCCACCATTGATGAAATGCATTTGTATATGAAAAGCATGTAGAAAAAGAGACATGCACAACACGTGCAGCCAATTATGCATACAGCCCATAGTTATAGCAGTAGCATCTATACAGGTGGTTAAGGGATAGTAGATAATTTCTTTGGCCTGACATTTGTCCTAAGATTATAATCATTATTAGTCTTTGATACCACACTGAAACCAATTAGTCCCATCTAAAGAGCATTATATATGTTAGAGTAAGAGCCCAAAGTCCCAAATAAGAATCAGGTCCATTTTTGTATGTATTATATACATACAAATATATCATCAGAGGTAATTAAAAAAACTATTTAATTTTTTCTTTAGACAGGATTATTTTAAAGCTCACCCAATACCTGCATATCTTGAGCCCAAAAGAATGGCATCATACCTGCAAGCAGACACTATGGGCAGACCCTGTGATGAGGGTAGAGGACATTTGTGGCTGAATTTCTCACTCCTGGACTTGCTGCTGTCACAGCTGAAGAGGCACAGATTCTGTTTTGGACTTTCCTTCCCTGCAGGCCAGAGAGAAAAAATTAGAATGTTACTTAACTGCTGTCCTGGTAGCCTCATCCCTCTCCCTTTGTAAACTCTCATGCTGATGCCTCCTCAAGGAAAGGGCTGCATTTTTGCTGACTCCTTGTACATTCCATTTCCACCTTTTCTGAGGAATCACAAACTACAGCTTCTTACTGATATCCCATGGAGATGTCCACCCATTTTACTGGTTTTAAGACAGACCTATAGATGGTTATTCAGAAACAACACAAATGAGAAAAGAGATATGTTCAGTTTTTAAGTGTTAAAATTATTTAGATAAAGAGGCAATAAAATATGTATATGTAGAAATTTAAATTTAGAAAAGTTTCAGAATGATAGAGATTTAGGCAAATATATCACAGGGTTTTTTCTGTACTTTGTGAATTCATAATAAGCATTTTTAGAACAGCACTGTCAACCATGTGTCCTCACAGTTGGTCCTTTTAGCTCCTACCCAAGGAGGGAAAAGTTAAAATCAATGTTCACAATAGCTAAACTGATTTCTAGGTATTTTTCTGCAAAGATTCCCTTACAGAGCATTTTAGCCAGTATCTGAAACCACACATGAAATGTCTGAATAGTTTCTAATGTGTTCTTTTCCCTGACAGCTTTTAAACTGATACGTTATATACACTCTCAGAAAAGCTGGCATTTTACCTGGTTCATCATACAAAATAGCTTTTGTCTTTTCCTTAGAGTCATTAGCAGGTGTAACTGGGACCAAGGTAAAAGTGAAGGTATTCAGAAATTACTTAAGGTCCCAGTGCTTTCAAGACTGAGATCATCTGGGTATTCTCATTGGATTCTAACTGTGTTGATATAGTTAGGATAGGAGAGAATGCCTCATTTGAATTCTGTTGTTTTCTTTGCTTTATTGCATAAAAATACAAGAGTTTAATGCTTATATTGTACCCATTTTCAACAAACTTCAGGGCACTTTGAGAAATTCATGTTATCAACATTCAGTGGGTAGTAGGCATTAAACCCATTCCCTGAGTGGTCATGCCATGCAGTACTGCCAGAACTGGGAGCAGAGACTGTGATTTTGGGTGTTATTGATACAAAAGTATCTTTTCCTTCCCACTTGTTTTCCTCTTACATTCCTCTCATCTGATCACAGGCACACACATCTGATCACATCAAATCTCTCTACTTGCCTTGGTGGCTTTGTTGTGTTTCATCTTTTCACCTCTTCGTGCTCTTGCTGTTTCACTCTGCTCACATGACTCTTCCTCCTCCCAGCTTTAAACACCCAAACATACAAAACTCCCTTTAGTCACTCATGTCTCTCCAACTACAGCCATTTGCCTTTCAACTGTGAACATCATGAAGGCTAAGATGGACTTGTTACATGGAGTTTCTCTCTCCACTGTGGACCTTTTAAACCCTCTTCCAAGGTTTTTAGTTTTGTCTTCTTTGCCAGGTGCAGGAAAGAGAGAACATCATCTTCACAGTCTGTAATACTACAACACAATTACATTTCACTTTCAAAATCTTGTCCTTTTGGTTTATGTTACTGTGCCCTCAATGGTTGTTCGCCTAACTTCTCAAGTGATTCTTTGCTGTTTTCTTCTAAGGATCTGCTTCATTTCTCTCCCAGTTTAGTGGAAACCTTTTAAAGACTCTGTTCTCAACTACGTTCTCATCCTTCTATTACTTCTGTATAGTATCTGCTGCAAAAGTAGTTGCAGTTACCATCTTTGTTCTTGTTTCACAGATTATTTTGATACATATGGCACAATTTATTTTACTTCTTGCTCTTACATGATCTTGATAAATACAAGTTTGCTCAGTGATTGACCAGTTATTTTGTTGCTGAAAAAGCTTCCACTCACTCCAAATGGAGGGAGGGTGGAGGAAGGGTTTCTTACTCCTTTTCACCATGTGAGGAAGAACCTAAACAAACAGCAGAACAGACTGAGACCTCTCAGTCATTTAGGAGAGAACAAGTTTCATTTCCTGATACAGACTAGGAGAAAAAAATCCACCTGACTGATGATGTAAAGATTATGGTAAGTTAGTGGGTGTAAAAGAAAATTATATGGGGGTAGCTGAAGAACAGGGAAGAGTTTTTACAGGCAATTGAGAGGAAGAGGCTGAGGGGACAGAGAAGACAGAGGAAGAAACTAATTACATGTAATAAATAAACATTGCAATGAAGGTGAAAGTGGGTGATAAGGAAATATAATGAATGTTACAAGGACATGGCAAGACCAGTTTTAAAGACCAGATGTATCTGATATTTGTTATGTTCATTACAATGGATATTATCACCATCTGTCACACTATAGCATCTAGCCACAGTTCTAAAATGTTACAGTACCTTGGGAAGGTGGGTTAATTGTGCTCACATCTATCTTTTCTTGGACCTTGCAAGTGTAGAGATATTGCTAATTCTTCTTAATCTGTGTGTTGATGTATCAGAGTTATATCATCACATGATAATTGCTTACCTCTGACAATTCTTTAGGTAAAATAACACTGCAGGACTAAATACAAAAGAGGTTAGATTTTGTAGCTACCAAAACATCAAAGAATGTGATAATAGATCCAACAAACTGAGTATTTGAGAAGATGTATTTGTACTTCAAGCATTGTATGAAATCTTTGAGGTATTAGCATGAGGAAATCTGTTGATCCAGAATCAGAAAAATTTTCTCGTCTGTTTTTAGGGGGATTGTACACCCTGGTTCATTCTGTCTCATAAATGATTAAGTAACACAAAAGTAAACTGACTCTGAAAGATGCAATATTATTTAGGATCAGGAAGAGACATAACTTGCCCCTCTGCTCAGCCCTGGTGAGGCTGCATCCTGATTACTGTCCAGTTTTGGGCTCTTCTGTACAAGAGAGACATTGAGTTCCTGGAGCAGGTCCAGCAGAGGCCACAAGGATGAGAGGGAACTGGAGCATCTGTTACAAGGAAAGGCTGAGAGAGCTGGGTCTGTTCAGCCTTGAGAAGGGATGACAGAGAGGGGACCTTACCAATGTATGAGGAAGTTCTTTATTG